TTTGCCGTCCACGTTTTCAGGTACTTCAACTCCCTCGACACTTTTTTCTTCCTGTTCGAAAGTTCTCACGTATGTCCTTTAAATATATGTGAGGTGAAGTCTTTTCTTTCTAACCAATCCTTTGGGGACGCTAATAAACCAATCTTATAGCCACATTTTGGGTTTAAAATGAGGGACCTCCATCCTCTGTGTAATTCAAGATGGCGGCTCTAATGTAGATTTTTTTCAGGTGAAAGCCAACGTCGATCTAAAAAGCTGAAAGTCTCGAAATTTCTAACCTCTTACCACAAAATTACTTACCGCGGTTTGACTTAAGGGGTGATCACACCAAACGTGCGGTGTACTCTGCGGTCGTGTGGTAACGTGAAAGACTGGTGACTAGGACATTAATTTTAGCCATCATGGAAGGCGAAAATGAATTTGGCGCGAGAATGGTGGTGTTTGAAATTGTGGAAAGGGACTTATAATCGACAATAGAAAATTAGATCTGTGTCAGAAAGATAAAGAAGTTCTTATGATGATCAGTTCAGTCAAAGTAGAGAAGTTTGAGCCTTTCGGTAAAGCTTTCTGTTCCCGGCACCCATTTGCGGCTCTTCCCAAGACTAGCAATAAACGATCGATCCTTGAGAGCGAAATCGAACCGGTAAGTCAGCCTATATCACCAAAAGCACATATTGAACGACTTTTAAAAATAGAAATGAACGATGGTTTGAGATGGTGTGGCTCCTTAGCTTGGAGATCAACCCAGTAAATGATCGACAAGTTCACCTGAAATTGATTAGCTTCTTGTAATTGATGACATCCTCGCTCAATCATGTGTTTGTACATTGTAAGTTTCCCCTTCCCCCTGGAACACGAGCTGTTTTTTATTCTTTTATCGATTCGGTTTAAGTGTGTAACTTTTCCTGTGTGTAAGTGCAATTATAGTTTCCATGGTACGAAATTTTGTCTGTCATGATCATTTGTGATCGCTTACGCAATTGAGTAAAGAGAGGTGACTTCTTTAAGGGTATTAAAGTTTTTCCTCGACAAATTGGTGCATATGTCAGTCTTATAAATGAAATCCTCTCCAGATGTCGAATTGTCTTAAATGGAAAATTTATAGAGATTTCAACCTGTAGAGATTTTAAATCGGGAGATGTTTATTATTGCAACAGCCCCAACTATTATTCATTCTGTTTATTTTACCCATGTCCCGTCAATGGCAGTGCCCCCCCCCTTCCCCCACAAGAAATCTTAATTATTAAGGAGTATGTATGAGACTATTCCTTTGATAATCTTGCAAGGGACTGTATTCAAGATGCAAGCACTATGCATTTGATCAAACGGGGGAGTGGGGAGAGGGGGAGTGGGGAATTTTTCAACAGGATCAGTTATTAGCGGCCCAATTAAATCACCAGCAGGACAGGGTGTATACCATGCTTTAAATTGGACAATATCATTCAATAGATGTGTCCTACTTTTGCTTAATATGGTTGCCTATCATTTGATTTTTTTTTTATTGCAAAGAGGATACCACTCAGTTCTGTTTCCATGACCAGCAAAACTCATTGCAGGTTGTGTTTTTTGAATCCTGAAATCATCTGTTATAATATCATCACCCTTTTTCACCAGACTTGCAAATGGGTTTTGAGGTCCACGAAAGATCACCCAGAGTGTTATGAGGAGGTACACTATATATATATATATATTTCTTTTTTTTTAATTCCATAAACATTTATTGAAGAAACATTTGTCCAGAACTAAACTTATATTATATTACTCTAGTTACATTACTCAACATCACTCTATTTATTACATTACTGTACTTACTGGATTAATCACTAGTGCTTATTTCTTACTTAAACTAACAATCACTTACTAACAGTACAGCGTAGTGTTACTTACATTACATTACTAAACAGAACATGACTTGCAGTACATTACAATACAAAACTCGCAATTCACTAGTTAAGCTCACTTGCCTACTTATAATTACTTGAAGTATTTTACAAATAGGTACACAATATATGTGCATTATGATTGCTGTATGTCAAGTAATGTCAGAAGTGATTAGTATGAAACTTCTCATAATATCCTTGCATTATCTAGCAAACAGGTAATAAGAAACTAAAACTTATTAGGTAGAAGGTGTTATCCTGATCTAACACCAAATTCTTACTATTAATTTACAAGAAAATGTTTAGCAGCTGGAGGAGAGAATTAACAATCAGATCTTGGGAGTTAAAAGGTTAACTCCCAAGATCTGATTGTTAATTCTCCTCTCTTGCTGCTACACATTTCCTTGTAAATTATTTATGAGAACTTGGTGCTAGATCAAGATAACAGCTTCTACCTGATAGGTTTGAATATTCTCATCACCTGTTTGCTGAATAATGTATGGATATTGTAGGGAGAAGTTTTATGTTAATCACTTCTGGGAGTTAAAGGGTTAAGATAGGGTACAAATTATGTAGGGGGGACTCATTTATGATTGAGAAGGCTCTTGATAGTGGAATGGTCCCTCTTTGAATTTTTTATACTGTGGAAGTTTCTAAATATAATTAGTTATCATTACAACTAGAACCTTAAGTCATTGTTCTGGCTTGGATATAGCCGACAGGCATGTTATTGATTCACGATAAGAGGAAAGTATTATTATAATTTTTCCCAATTATGTAGAGGAAATTTTCATTGTTGCTTTGATTTCAGTTATTTATGCAAGGTAACACCGTTGTTTGGAGTGTTGGAAAGTCTCAGACAGTGAGAACAGTGCAGAAATGTTATTCAGCCATGTCTCTGATAGTAGATTGTTTGTGGTGCACATTTAGCCTTCCATCTGAATATTGCAACAGAGGAGAGAATCAAGTTTCATCTGGTTGGTTCATTATTTTATTTCTTTAGCTGTCATGCTGTTGAAATTGTTTTTAACATGGATTGTAAATGAAATTGTTTGGCACATGTATTTTACCCTTAACCCTTTCACTCCCAAGATCTGATTAGTAATTCTCCTTACTATCTGCCATGCAATTCGTATGATGTTAGTTCAGAGAATTTGGTATTAGATCAACTAATAATCCCATGATTAATATTCTTCTCTATTCTCATCACCTGCCTGCTTGATATTGTATTGATATTGTAAGGAGAAATTCTGTCCTGGTCACTCATGGGAATTAAAGGGTTAAAAAATTATATGAGGGGCATTTAATATGTTTTTCAATCATGCAAATGACACACCTAATGAAATTGGAAATGCATTATTGCACATTAATTGTGGGAGGCACTGCAACCTGAATGTTGGTTTGCTAGACTCCCAGTCAAGAGGTCCTGTAGACCTGCCGGGATCATTGCATTCACTCATTGTGCCTCTCTTCACCCTAGAGTAGAACATTACCCCATTCCTGTTTTGTAGTTAATCTGATCTGTGATATTTTACAATTTCTAGGGGAAACATTACATAGCCTTTGTGTCCTCCAGAATGACTGTATTGATGTGCTGACTGAGGATGGCGCTCTATTTACCATAACCCTTCCATTTCCAGTAAGTAATTAATAGTGCTAGAAATGTTGTTTCAGGAAAAATATTGTTTAACTTATGACTTCGCAAATCACTAAAACAGGACAAACCATTCAATTAGTGTTAAATGATTCAATGCAGTCTGACCAAAGTCTCTGAAAGGAGTTTTCAAAGCACATTAGGGCATAGGTTGCTGTGGATGATGTACAATATTGATTTGCAATGATAAAATTCAAATCAGGATAGATGAATGCATTATTACCAATGATCTTTGAAAACTGAATCTTCTCAGGCTCTTGCAAGCTAAAAAATTGCCTTAACCCTTCAACTCCCAAAAGTGATTAACAAGTAACTTCTCCCTACAATATCCATACATTATTCAGCAAAAAGGTAATGAGAATACTCCAATATATTAAGCAGAAGTTGTTATCTTGATCTAGCACCAAATTCTCTTAATTTATTTACAAGGAAATATGTGGCTGGTAGAGGGGAAAATTAACAATTAGATCTAGGGAGTTAAAGGGTTAATTTAAAAAGTCACTCGGTTGTCAATGAATTCATTATTAAAAAAATCAATGGAATTGCAAATTTCTTTGTCAGTGGTGAACTTAAGAAAATCAGATGAAGTTGCCTCTCTTAGTCAATTTTTCTGCATTAAAATTCTTAAAACGAAACAATAGTAGAGATTTTTGCTGTAAAACATGACATTATTTAATTAGCTTTGTGTCTTCATTTTGGGACTGAATGACCCACATGTCTTGAATTCTCTATCCAGGTGAAACAAGTGGTTGCTTTGCAAGAGGGATTGTTGCTTGAGAGAGCAACAGCACCAGGAGAAATCACTGGGCAGAGGAGGTAATTAAGAGGAACTGAATAGTTACTTAAAGTGATGTGATAGTGACAAAATTACAATTTTTTCCTGGATAGCTAATTATGTCACTGATTGAGGATGTTTTATTTTTTTCCTAGGGATGTCCCTACAATGTTTAGTGTCCTGCATCCTTTGGATGAACCAAGACCTATCACATCTAAAGTGGAAGGTACTTTCGCGCATGTAAATTGAAATACTTTCAAAATAGCTTAATGTTCAGTGCACTGAATTTGCAATCAAAAAGCCCATCTTTGTATTCTAGAAAGGTCATTATGTTCTTGTGCATAGCACCTTTAAAGTGGACACTCCCCTCCCAGGAGTAAGAAATGGTAACAGTAGAGTCAGTAATTAACAATTACTCACCTGAATTGGAGGTGAATAATGGTGGATATTTACCAAGCCATGAAGTGGCAATTTTGTCTTGACTGCTGCTAGGAGGTGAATAGTACCTGCTATTCATTTCTGAACGAACCAATCAGTGAGCATGAAAAGCACTATTCACATGTGTTGCATATACTAATTTCTGATATAAACATAGTGGTCTTCTTTTTCCTTACATAGGAAAGATCTTCTACATCTGTGACCCAGCGGTTAGTGTGGTGTTTTCATGCAGTGATCCTCCACTAGTCATGACATATGACTTTGTCATTGGTTTACATTCAGTATGGCATGTGACCAAAGCAACAGCTCAAGTGAGGCTACATTTCATTACTAACAGTTCCATCTGTTTCTTCAAAGTCTGGATTTTTCTGTATGATTTTGAACACTTCCTTTG